TGGTGTGGGGGGAGGAAGAGGGCATCAGTGCGGGGGCCAGGACCCCCAGCCCCTGCCCCCTACCCACACCAACAGGAGCCTGGATGCCTGGGTTCTCTCCACACCCTAGGGCAGAGACTCCCAGATGCCTAGATCCTCTCCACACTCTAGGGCAGGGGGCAGAGACCCCCAGACACCTGGGCCCTCCTTGTGCTCTAGACCTGGGGAGAGAGACCTGGGTCCTCTACCTGCAGGGAGCGGGGCCTGGACGCCTGGGTCCACGGGCAGGTACCTTGAGGGAGAGGAAGGCGCCGGTGGCGTCGAAAGTGCCCAGGTCCTCATCCTCGTCGTCCACGCACCACTCCGGCAGCCCATCCTTGTCCCGGTCATCCTCAGAGGCCTCTCCTGGCACCGATCCTACCCGCCGCCGCCCCTCAGTCTCCACCTTCCGCCGCCGCCCGTCCCCAGAGGGGTCCCGCCAGCCCGCGGAGCGCGGGCCCCCATCTGGGAGGGAGAAGGAGAGGTCAGATCAGAGCCAGACCTGACCCCGCCCACCACCCACACAGAACAGTAATCTACAAGCATCACCCACAAATCAAAAATAGGCCCTGCCCGCTAACTCCACCCACAACCATACTACTGGGTTCCTGGCTCTGCCCCCTGCTGAAGCCAATGAGCCCCCTGCCCCATCTGGCTCACCTGGGCTCGTGGAGCGCCAACGCTCAGCCTCGCGGCGACCCCCAGGCAAGCGCCAGCTGCCAGGCCCTGTCCCCGCCCCCTCCTCAGCCTCCTCATGCTCCTCACGCAGTGTGCGCCAGTTGGTGCTGTCTGAGCGGGCATGCTCCTTGCGCGGCCCCGGCACCACCTCCTCGAATGCGCCCCGGCCTAGGGGAGGAGGGTGGGCAGGAGCAGAGTCACCTTGCCCCGGCCACTGTGGCCCTACACCCCGACCCATCTCCTTATATCCCAACCTGTCTTTCTAGCCCCACCCCTGTGCCCTTAGCTCTGCCCCAGGTGCCCCACTCCATGGGTCTCCCTAGCCCCACCCTGTCTCCTAAGCCCCCCAGCCCCACCCCCAGATTCCTAGCCCAGCCCCCAGGTTACTAACCTATCCCCAACCTGTCTCATAAGCCCCGCCCTCAGGTCCCTAGACCCCCCCCAACCTGCCTCCTTGGCCCACTCCAACATCCCAGTCCCCATCCATTTTACTGACCTCAACTCCATTTCCATATCCCCGCCCCCATGCCTCCCAACCCCGTCTGTCACCGCAGCCACAGCCCCACCCCCTAGACCCCTGCTCCCCACACCTACCTCAATACTCCCTAACTCCACCCCATATCCTTAACCCTGCCTCATGTCTCTACCCCTGCCCCAAAGCCCATTCCATCTTTAGCCCCGCCCCATCCCCCTCGTCTCACCCGTGCCCACCCCCCAGGAGCCGGTGTGGCCCAACGGCCTGTTGCCAGGCATGGGGGGATACACTGATACTGTGACCCCCCCACCCCCGGCCCCATCTACCTGCATCGCGCCGGGGCGGCTTCTCAAAGCGCCGGTCCCCTCTGCCGGGGAAGAGGTGGAGTCAGAGGTGAGGTCAGAGCCCCCCCCGCCATCCCACAGCCCAACCAGGGATACTACCGCCACACCCCCTCATCCCAGCCTCACGCACCGGTCGTCCCAGCTCTGGCTGCGGTGGATCTCGCGGGCACCGCGCCCGAAAGCCCCATCCACCTCCTCTGCCGCCGCTGCCACTCTTTGGTAAAAGCCGGTCTCGCCGCGGCCCCCCCCTGGCCGGGGGGAGAAAACCAGACACAAGGCCATCAGAGCCCAGCACGGCCCTGCAGCTCGCCCCCACCTAGCAAGAAATCTCTGACTCCACCCCCACCCGCCAGCCAGAACCCTGTATAAACCCTGCCCACAGGCACTAGCAAGCCCTGCCTCCACAGAGGCCGTGCTCCATGCTAACCACACACGCCCCAGGCACAACTTCCTTGCCCCCCTGCTGGCCACACCCCAGAACACAGCCACCCCGACCTGCCCTCGTTCTAGCCCCACCCCCAGGGCTCAGCTAGCTTTGCCCTTACTAGCCCCACAGACATGCTACCAACACCTAAACTCTCAACCAAGCCCCAGATGCCCTCCCCATAAGCCTCACCCCCCCAGAGCCTCTGCCATCACTAACCCTGCCTAACCCCACCCTCTTAAAGAGACAGTGCTTCCACAAAGTACCTCGGCTCCTGGCACTGCCCCTGCCCCGTGAGACTCCAGCTGGGGCGGCCCCGCCCCCTTTTCCCATAAGCCTCAGCACTGCCACACTGTTCACTGACAGGGAGAAGTTCCTCTGCAGCACATGGCAGCCAAGAAAAGGGGGTTAGAATGAGAAGAAAGCGTCCCCCCAAGACCCTCCCACTCCCACCACCATCTCTCTCTGGATGCCGGTGCATCAGTTTCCCACGGGGAGAGAGAGGGGGGAGATAGAGTACCTGTTCCTCCTCTGTCAGGGGCAGCAGGGCCAGGGGCTGCAGTGGCTCCTCCTGGAGGATGGCAGCAAACTCCTTGTCCTGCATCTCCTCCGGGACCTGTGGGCAGCACCGGAGATGGGAAAGGAGGAGGGGCACTGCACAGAACTCTGCCCCCCAGCAGCACAACCCTGAGGGACCCCTGGGGTCAAAGGACCTCATTGCTCCCCCACCCCGGCACCCATTATGAGGTGTTGATACTTAGTTCCACCCCAGAAGTGGGCACATCAGCCACTGCAGGGGCATACCACATGGTGCCAGCTGGGGGGGGGGGGTGGTTTAGGGGTGGTTGAAACCCCCACCTCCAGTCCCCTACAGACCTTGTTTTCCTTGACGTAAAGTGCTAACATCTCCTCGCGCCCGTAGCGGTACTCAGCCAGCTTGTATTTGGGCAGCGCCGGTGAGTGGGGGGGTGAGGCCACGCTGCCCCCGCTGGACAGCGCCCGGAGCCTGGTGGGGCAGGAGAGTACTTCAGGGCCAGACACCTGGGCCCTCTGGGGAAGGAGGGGGGGG